AAAGGATCAACATGCTCTGAAGTCAGAGCACAAAAACCTTTTTTGTAACAAAATATCGATTTCTGCTGTCCCTGTATCGATACATTATTAGCAAACAAAATATCACCATACTACACAGTATCGATTTTTTCCCCCACCCCTACTGCAGGTCAGCAAGTAACTGGCTGATCCAGCTCTCTGCTGGGACAGCAACCAACACTGACCTGAAACCTTCAACTCCTCTCTCTCTTCAGGTGTGATTGCGTCTGTTGCCTCTGGTATGGAGAACTCCAGTGTGTCAGTCAAGTCCTGCATTAGACAGTAAAGAAAAGCAATCTGATCACAGCCCTCATCTGACATGAGAAATGTGGCACGGCCAGTCTCACCTGGTTTTTACTATACGTGTATGTTGTACATACGTACAAATATGACAGAGGGACACTGGTGAGGAGCCTTCTCACGTGCTGAACCGTGAACTTGAAAGATTTTATTGGTGGCCAATAAGCGAGAAGAGACTTGCATTTGGATATATTTAAGGCCTCTTACTTCAGCTCTCAACCTCCCACTGAGTCCGGTGGGCCTCGTGATATAAGCCGAGGCAGATTAGCTGATCCAAGCAAAAAAATACCCGCAGCGGGAGTGAGTTCAGCAGGAGAGCTGGTTGACTACAACAGTTCCTAAAGCCTCCTTTATTTCATTTCAGTATTTTGAGACCATGATAAAAGGGTAAAAACACTGCATCCAATTTATTTTAAAGTTAATGGGGAAAAAACTCCTCCATAAAAGGTTACGTCCCACCCCCCCCAGTCCCTTAAGCTAACAGACAGATGCACATTTGGTATGGCGCCTTTGACAGGCAGCACTGCATGAACATTCACCATGACAGCCTAGAGCCTAGAGAATTTCTTTGATGTCCATCTACATCTATTGCGTTATTTTACTTTCCCAAGCACTGGAATCCATCTGACTGACAGTGAGACATTCACCTACTGCAGGTCTGACTATCGCAGTTGTGTATTACCCAAAGGCACAAACTCTCTGACAAACTGGTTTATATATTGGAGTTAATTACTACGGCTGAAACATTAGAAAGCTGAAATAGTTTTCCCACCTTGGATGACAGCTTTGTCGTGGAAATCCATTCGCTCAGCGAGGCTTGAATGCAGTCTCGAAGCTGAAACATCAAAACGGACTTAAGGTTAGGCCAACGACCCTGAGACATGCAGACAGCTGGAGCTCATCAGCAGACTCCCAAACAGCTGGAATATGCTGCTCCAAAATCATGACAAGTAATGACATCAGCTGGACCGACTTTAAAGGTATCCACTATCGGTCCAGTTTAAGGTGCACTGAATGCTTTGTTTAAATAAAGAAAAGTTAACCTATTAACACAAAGATATTCGTGACATTTGCTGCATGAGTTGTTTTGAATTGAACGAGTGAGACTGGTTCATTAGTGTTGTAAGACTTTGAAAGAAACTGTGACTGGTTTAACAGGATTTGTAGCTGCTGAAAAATGTCTTTAATAACATTAGCTTTGACACTGCGCTCATATCAGTCAGATATCACAAATGGCAAAAGGCTCACAACATATTTAAGGTGGTCACATGGTTGCAAAGTTGGCCACACATGAACACACATGTAGTAATTTGTCCTATAGAAGTAAATTACATAACTGAACACTGCCCATAGGTTGTGCAAGGCAAGGGCTGCAAAAGACTCTCGAAAAAATTACTTCCTAAAGCTCAATTTTGCTCCCTATACCATTTTGTGAGAAGTTAGCCACATGTGTCGTGTTCCAAAACAGATTTTCAGTAATGACCTTAAAAGCCTACCCTGTGATAACTCATTTTTCCCCCTGTTGTGGCAGTAAAAGTTGCCTTTGATTGCAGATCTTATATAGAGAGCCACCAAACCACCTTAAACACAATTCTGACTACAGAAGACAAACGCAGGATCACAGTTCACAAAGAAACACACATACAGGACGGAGAAAGTCTTATTACACTATTCAACATGCACGCTCTGCACACCATTTGCAAAAAAAACCCAAACAAACAAAAAAACAACAACCTGCCCACTATGCTATGGCTGATAAAAAAAGACTACAAGTGCCACTTTAGGGTAAGTTACACCCAAAATATAGCCAAGAAAACTGCAAGCCATGTCTTTATTTTTGAGGATTTAATGAATGAATGCTGTGCTGACTCAGGAACAAGTCGAAACCAAACCCTCCCAGCAGTCCTGCCTTTATATAACACTGTAAACAATTCAGTTCACCAACTATTCAACTTTCAACTACTAAATCAAAACGCTGACAAAGGATTTTATTAAACGAAATGTTTAAACAGTTACAGCTTCAACAAAAGTGAAGATTAGTAGTTTATGTTTAGACAGTTATGTAACTATTAGGCTCTGGAGCTCTGACATGTTCTATTCATTGTTTAGCCGTGAATGACTCATAAACCAATCAACCGCTGTATCAGTTGGTTGATTACTGACACATGAGTATTTTATGAGAGTAGAGCACACTGCTCTCATAAAGAGCAGTGTGCTCTTGTTGTCACACTTCAGGCTGTCAGTGAATCACATCACCTGTTTGAAGCTCTCGGGTCTGTATTTACAGTGGTTTTCACAGCCTCGTGTCTGTAAACTTTTCACCTTAGGCCGGATCGTAAAGTTGGTTACCCTACGAACCTTTAACACACTAGTAAAATTAAAGTGAAACTGATGAGCTACACCACTTTAGCCCACATATGCGTCTAAATATGGACGGATGGGATATGAAATGCATATTTTCGAATGTATTTCAGTCATATTTCTCTTCATTTAAGCTCTATGTGTAACCTTACCCAGGCCTATCAGTTACCACTCGTCGGTATCAATATCAGGTTGAATAATTAGCTAGGCGCTAAGCTAACGGGCTACAAGCCACTGCCGTTTCCAACCGTCTCGTTATGTTTTACCTCCTCGCTGGGAGAGCCCGGACACTTCTTTTTCAGGCGGCTTCGGTTGACCAGATTCCCGGTGTGGAGCCGGAAGGTCTTCGCGTGGCTCAGCAGCATCTTCGCCTCAGTGTTGGTAGTGTTTTGAGAATCCATGTGCTCTCGGACGCTAGGCTAACAAGCTGCTAAACTATTTAGTTGGCCGCGGTGAAATGTGACATCAGTAGTGTTGTCACTCCGTCACTGACTGCTGGACAAGCACACTGCAGCACAGACCCCCACCGGCACTGTCAAAATGATGTGGTCAGGATGACTTGCACTCAGCGCTGACTAGCTGGTTTGGTTGTTACTTGTAAGCCGGTGTGTCACGCCCACATAGCGGCGGCGGTGGAATGAGAGAGCTGGTCCGGATAACAACATGGAGTGACATCCAGCGCACCGCACTGGATTCATGGAGCGGATTCTTGCACCGAACAAGTCCCACCACTGGATGGCGGTGTCTAAACATTACTATCTGGCTGACATTACTAACATTTGCCTTCAGAGCCCGGCTTAATTCTTTGTGGCGTGAATTCAGCAAGGTCCTGAAAATAGTTCTGAGACATTCTGGTGCATATTCACATGACATGACACACAGTTGCTGCAGATTTGTTGGCTGAACATCCACAGCGAAGATCTCCTGTTCCAAAAAAAATCCCAAATGTGCTCTATTGGATTGCGATGTAGTGACTGTGGAGTTCATGTGAGTCATTGCCATGTTCAAGAAACCAGTTTGAGATGACCTAAACTTTGTAACATGGACTGTTATCCTTCTGGAGGCAGCCATCAGATGATGGGTACACTGCAGTCATGAAGGGATGGACATTCTCAGCAACAACACTCAGGTAGGCTGTGGTGTATAAACAATGCACCAACAAAAGAGTGCCAATATGCACAGGTGAGCCTGTGCAAACTGTAGCCTCAGTTTCTCGTTCTTAGGTGACAGTGGTGGAAACCATTGTGATCTTCTGCTCATGTTGCCTATCTGCTTCCAGGTTTGACATGCCGTGCATTCAGAGATGCTCTTCTGCATACCTTCGTTTTAACGAGTGGTTATCTGAGTTGCTTTCCCATCAGCCCAAAGCGGTCTAGTCATTCTCCTTTGACCTCTTGCATCAAGAAAGCATCTTCCCCCAGAGAACTTTACTTGATATTTTCTATTTTGGGGATCATTCTCTGTAAAACCCCAGAGATGGTTGTGTGGAAAAATACCATTAGTTTAATAAATACTCATAAAACAACGATGCCAAAGTCACTTAAATCATCTTGGTTCCCCATTCTCATGCTCAGTTTAGCAGCTCATCTCATCAACATTCTTAAATGTACTGGTTTGCTGCCATCTGATTGACTGATTATATATGTGCATTAACGAGATGTACCTAATTAACTGACACTACTGTGTATAATGTCGCTAATGCTTTATTTAAACTTGCATACATTTGATTCCAATTTATTTTCTACTACTTTTGACTTTTTATAGCTAACAGCTTTAGTTAATAGTTTCTATGATTTTGTATTTTCTAATTAGTTTTTAATTAAGTTTAGTTTAGTTTTTTTGTTTTCACTTGTTTTTTGTTTTATTTATCCTTTATTTAACCAGGAAACTATGATTCTTTAAAGATTTAAAAGTCTCTTTCTCAAGAATGCCCTGACCAAGAAAGACAGAAGTACAGCCAACAGAGTTGCACAACCTAGAACATACACCCACACACACACAGGCAACAAAAAAATATGCAAAGTAACAACACTAAAATACAGCCGATAAGCAAATACAACGCAAAAACTACCAAAGTTTGTGAACCTCAGTGGCTATGAACTGTGAAACATCAATAAACATCATCGCATTGGGCCAAAGAAATATGTGAATCACGTTCAGACAAAACCTCTACAGTCAAAGTCATTCACAATCACCTTGAATTCATTTAGTGAGATCAGTTCCTTGAGTGTTTTGTTAACTTTGGAGCTGTTTCCACAGGGAAACAGTTGCAATTGCATTTGAATTCTCCCAATGCTTTTTCTAAATTCATTGTGAATCTTTGGAACAGACAGAAGTTATAGGTCTGGGGACCTAAGACAATAACTTCCCACATTTTTCTGTAAGTAGGATGCGATCTAGCAAGAATAGCTTTATAAATAAGAACACAGCAGTGGTTGAGAGAGTCTGTGAAATGACAAAGCAAACCATCGACCTAAGCATACAACATACAGTGGTGCGTCAGAGTTTTAAGGTTTGTAATAAATCTCCGTGCTCCATGATAGACAGAATGTTAACATTCTGAAGATGCATGCAAATACATGTAAATAACATGACCATAATCCAGGACTGACACAACGGTGGAAGCAACGGTCTGGTTCTTGCCTCAAAAGACACACAGGATGTCCTTGTAAAGTAAAAATCATGTTCAGGTTTAAGTTGAGGTTTTCTCGCCAGCTGCTGAATGTGAGGTGTAAAACAGAGAGAGTCACTGGTTATAAGGACTGGACTCATAACTCAGACGCCCTCTACAGGAAAGGGCAGAGCAGGCTGTACCTGCTGCGGAGACTCAGGTCGTTTGGAGTGGAGGGCCCACTCCTGAAGACCTTCTATGACTCTGTGGTGGCCTC